GAGGAGCTGTGGACGCACCAGGCGGCCGACGGCCTCGCCGAGGGCCGGGCTCGGCCGCCGCCCGGGCCCGACCTCATCTCCTTCGTGGCCGCTGGGCCGCCCCGCCTGGAGCCCGAGGCCCCGCCGCCTCCTGTCCCCCCCAAGTCCGAGGCGGTGGGTGGCTGCGATGTAGGTGGGAAGGGTGGGAGGCAGGGAGCCGAGCTGGGGGCTCTCTCTCCTCCAGGGAGGGAGGTGGCCAGCCAGATGCCAGTTCTCCTGAGCCCCGGGCTCCAGCCCCTGGAGTGTGTGACGGGGGGCGGGGGGGGGGGGACCTGGGAGGAGGGGGCGGAAGAACGGGAGAACAAGGGGGAAGACACAGGAGCGTATTTGTAGTAAGGGATACTAGAGACAGTGGTGCTAGGAGTTTTGGAGACAAAGATGCTAGTAGGTCTCCAGCTTGAGAGAATTTGGGATGAGCGCTGAAGGTCCCCTAGAACCAGGAGTCCTTTAAATTGTCCAGTGAAAAGAAGGTCCCATGATGGAATAAGTTTAGAAAAATGTAGTGGAAGATTCCCAGCTCACCCCCTCCTCACTTTGGAGCCATAGAACTTTGGTTTATTAAAAGCTCTGAGAAGTCCTGCACTAAGGAACCCTATTTATACCTAACACAGAATTTCCCAACCATACTCGTCCAGAGAAATAGACTCTAGCTTTTAATATCCCAGGGAGTCCACTTTGAGTATTCGACCTGTAAAGAAGGGAATCAGATGGCAGATACTTGTCCTTCCCTTTCTTCTCCCTGTCACACCACTTTCCTTTTCCTTGAGGAAAAGGTTGACTTTCTATTTGGATCTACTTCTGTATTCTCTTACCTTCATGATGGATTTCCAGGGCTGTGGGAGATGGTGTGTGTGGGCTCTCAGAGTGAAACAGGCTGGAGAGACTAGAAGGGGTGGGGTGGGTGAGTAGCTGGAGGTAAGGCCAAGTGTCAGGCCCAGACACCCTCCTTGCCCAGCTGCTTGGGAAAGGGAAGGTAAGGAGTGTCCACTGCTTGGGGACAGGGCGTGGAGTCATGGCGCTCTGCTTGCAGGTGAAGGAGGAGTGCCGCCTGCTCAATGCCCCCCCTGTGCCTCCCCGGGGTGGCAGCGGCCGGCTCTCGGGCAGCCCCCCGGTGCCCCCACGCTTCCCCAAGCTGCAGCCCGGCCGCTCACCTAGCTCCAGCCTCCCCTACTACTCGTCTGGCCTCCAGGACGGGTGAGCCCCTGCCTGCTCTTGGTGCTGGGTCCTCCTGCCGGGGATTGAGGAGGGGAAGGGCGGGGAGAGGGGGGCCAGTACTGAGGGAGAGGAAGAGTCCAGGCCTGCCGTTCAGAGCGGGCAGGTTCTCGAGGGTGCCGGGGGCTGGGGCCCACTGCTTTGCTTTCCACCTTCCTGCTCCAGCTTGTTCCTAAGTGCTGACGATTGGATGGGAACACTGCTCAGGGTCCCCTCAGGCTGGGATCGGCCACAGGATGGACTGCTCCTTGCTCTATTAAAATTTTTATTTAATGCAGTTTAGTTTAATTTTTCCTGGGGTGGGAGAGGCTGGAAGACAGACCAGGGCAGTCCCAGGGGGTCTCGGGCCTCGGGGGCTGGGGTGCGAGCGGGTGGTGCTGAGGTCCCAGTGGCCGTCTCTGGCCTGGCAGAGCGGTTTGCTGTGTCCTGCGTGTGAGCCTGTGGCGCTTCCCTCTTGCACTGGCTGACCCTTCCGTGTGTGTGTGTCTCTGCCCACAGGACAGGGTCTCGCAGTGGCAGTGGCTCTCCGTCACCGGACGCCTACTCCCTTTATTGCTACCCATGCACCTGGGGAGACTGCAAGGCGGGCGAGTCCTCCAGCCGCCCACCCCCGGCACCCCTGCCCTCGACCACGCAGCCCAGCCAGGCCGCCCGGGCCCTTGCAGAGCCCCTGAGCGGTCGAGCCACCTCCCTCTTGGGAGCGGACACCCCTGTCAAGGCCTACCACAGCTGCCCGCCTCTGTTCAAGCCCTCTCACCCCCAGAAACGCTTTGCTCCGTTTGGAGCTCTCAACCCCTTTTCGGGGCCTGCCTACCCCTCCGGCCCTTCAGCGGCCTCCTCTTCTGGGCCCACCACCAGCTCGGGTCCCCTGGCTACCTCCAGCCCTGCTTTTCCCCCAGGCCCAGGCTCACCAGGCCAGGCCTATTCAGCTGCTCCCACCTCGTGTCCCACCTCCTCCTCCTCCTCCTCTGAGTGGCAGGAACCAGCCCTGGAGCCCTTTGATCCCTTTGAGCTGGGCCAGGGCAGTTCTCCAGAGCCCGAGCTGCTCCGCTGTCAGGAGCCCAGAGCTGTGGGGGCACCCTGCCTCTCGCCACTTGGACCCCCCAAGGCCTTTGAACCCGAAGGTTTGGTGCTGCGGCAGGTCCCCACCCCGCTGTCACTGGTGGCCCTGCAGGGGCCCGAGGCAGGCGGAGGACGGCTCCTTCTCACCCAAGGGCGCTTGGAAGGGCCTCCTGCCAGTCCCCGGGAGGGGGCTGCAGGCTGGGGAGGCCGGGATGCCTCCTCCTGGCAGCCTCCTGCTGACCTGTCTGCGCTCTCCCTGGAAGAAGTCTCTCGAAGTCTGCGTTTCATCGGGCTCTCAGAGGATGTGGTGAGCTTCTTTGCCCGAGAACGCATTGATGGCAGCATCTTTGTGCAACTCAGTGAGGACATCCTGGCAGATGACTTCCACCTCACCAAGCTGCAGGTCAAGAAGATCATGCAGTTCATCAAAGGCTGGCGGCCCAAGATCTGAGGTTCCCAGCTTGTAGCCGCACAGCTGGAACGCTGGCGCAGAGGCCGCGGGGGTTAGCCCCGGGTCTGCTGGGGGGGCAGCGCGCCCGAGCAGGTCCTCCTGCCAGGAGAATCTGCCGAGACTGAGGCAGCCAGGCAGCCCCTCCGAGTGAATCCAGGGGAGACACACTTGGAAATGGGGACGTCTGGCCTTTGTGCCGAGTGAGTGGGGAGGGGGCTGAAGGCACAGTGCGCACCTGGGCCTGGGGACACGTTGCTGTGATTCCCACGGTGGGGGAGGGGGTGTTTGTCATCCCCTGTCCTGATGCAGAGCTTCACAGATATCTGGCACTTCTCAAGCTTGTAGGTTCCGGTTAGAGACCAGGGAAGAAGATGGTCCGTAATTTAAGCACAAATTCCCCAAGTGCCCCCCCCCGCTCTTGTGCTCTGTGGGCTTTTGGCCTTAGCTGCCCCAGAGTCCGGGGCCGTTCCTGTATGTCTGGGAGGCCCTTCCTTTCTGCTTCTATGAATTCGGGCCCTGGCCCCAAGCACGGGCAGCTCAAGGACGAGCCAGGTGCCAGCGGGCGGGTGAGGACTCCGGGGGAGCCCAGCTCTGCTGCTGCCCTGCTCGTCTAGTTAGGGAGGCAGATGTTCCCCTGCTGTCGCCAGTGCCCGGGCTTCTGCCTCCCGTCCTGCCGGGTGGGGTCCGGTCTGAGAAGATTCTCACTCGGTGGAAGAGCAGGTAGATTGCGGTCAGCTGCTCCTGGATTCTGGAGGCAAGTGGCCTTCACTCACTCCCACTTCCGCCCGTCTCCTGCCCCCTTCACTGGACTGTGGCAAACACATGCTGGCCTTCTCTGGTTTTCTGCCACCGCACAGGTGGGTTGGGTGGGAAAGAGAAAGCACCGTGGTTTGGGAAGACGGGCTTTCTCCCTGCTCCTGGAGCTCAGGCTTCCTGCGCGTGTTCGTCGCCTCTCGTCAGGTCTCCGGGGCCTGGCTGGTGGGCATGGAGACCTGCTGGCACCTGGAGCAGGCTGGCCACTGTGGCCAACCGCCCATCTGCCTGGAGCCGCACCAGCTCCCCTCACGCCACTGGCGGCAGGCCCCAGACCGACCAGCCTTCTCTTCTGCCTTACCTAGCCTACCTAGATATTTATTTCCTCCGTTTTTCTCTTAAGCGTAGTGAAGCCATGCTGGTGCTCGAGCCCCGAGCAGACGCCTCCGGCTCCAGGGAGGGGGAGTCAGAAGTCGAGCACACACACTGTGATGCTCAAGCATTGGGTTTCCTTGCCGATCACTCTGTGAATCCTCAAGGACTCGTGAAATAAATGCTAGAGCACTCAACAGTAGTGGGGGTGCGACTCTGGGCATCGACGCTCTCTTCCTCTGGAGGGCGCCGGGGCCCGACAGGTACAAGGTGTAGGCCTCCGGGCAGGGGAGGACTTTGGAATGCGGTGTGCCTGTGGCCCACTCCTGGGTTCCCTTCTGAAAGCCCCTCCTCAGCCCCTACCCTACGAGAACCTTCCAGCTCCCACCACCGTTTCACCCTCATTCCTACCTTCTAGTGCTGCTGAGTGGAAAGCTCCATATCACCAGCCAGGGCCCACGTTTAAGTTCCTGCACTGACCAAATGCCCGCCTGAGGCCCTCCCAGAGCCCCCATTTAGAAGCCCGTTCCTGGCTCTGGTGAGATCTGTTCTCTACTTTCTACTGGTTATCTGAAAATCCCGATGCACAGATGCCTTGGTTTTAGGGTCTGGCCTTGCAGCAACCGTGAGTAGTCCAGGGAGCCAGCGCGACGCGCTCTGCCCGCGGGGCCCCGCAGAGCTGGCGCCAGGGGTCTGTGAGGGGCTGGCAGCCGCAGCAGAGGCAGCAGCCGTGGGTCAGAGCACAGCATGCCGGGACTTACGGTTCTGCACCCGTGCAGTGTGGGACCCTCTGCCGGACTGGGCAGGAGCCCCAAGGCTGTTCACACATACTGGGAGTTGCTGCTACCCGGACAGGAGCGGAGGGACTCTCCAGCCCCGAGGGCACTGGGAGGGCGGACAGGAGGCTCTTGAGCGCCGTGGCGCTGGTGGGTTGGCTCGGCATTCCTTGAACAGCTCACTGCGGGGTCTCTGATGATCCATCCATCCTTCCATGCTCTGGGGCAGCCAAGACGAGCAGGATCTATTGACCAGGAAAATATTCTCTCCTCTGCTTCACTCCAATGTTAACATCCTGAGAACACGTGAGTCCCACCATGAAAAGAACTGGGTGCCATTGTGCTACAAGACATTAGTCTGGTGAAAGAAGTCTCTTAAAACCTGGCCTCCAAGCCTGTGGCACGTCACCTGCTCTGGCCAGCCAGGCCTCTCCCCCACGGCAAGCAGAGGCCTGCCAGAGCGTGTCAACATGGCCAGATTTCGAAGGCTTTAGCGCATCAAGTCCCCCTTTATCATCATCACAGTCTCTCTCTCAAGGTGCTGCCTAGAACTCTCCCAACACGTTCATAGCCCCAAAGCCCAAGGCTTCATTCTGGCTCCTTGAAGGGAGGGGTTTAAAGCAGGAGGGCAAAGACAGAAGAAAAAGGAGCAGGCAGGCAGAGAGGCTGTTAGAGTTTGGTTTTTATTGTTATCACACAGGTGGCCGGGTGCAGAACTGCCCGGGCTGCCACCGGCCACCACCGGCCCCGGCGGAGCAGGCAGCAAGTCAGCTCTGGAGACGCCGGCACTCGGGGTGTCGGGACTTACGGGTTCCTCCTAACGTGAGGTGCAAACTCATTCACAGCCACACTTCACCAGGAGGGAGAGACTGTCCTAACTGAAGGCACTTTGGTCAGGGCGCACACCCAGTGCCAAAGTTTGTTTGCCTTCCGGTTCCTCTGATGCGTCTAGATGCCACTCTGCCGGAGAACCAGCACCGCTGGCTGGGCGGGGGCCCGCTCACTGGCAGAACTTCCTGTCAGGGCTGTTAGCGTGGTCGATGAGCAGTTGGCACGGGGTGAACTGTTTTCCATAGGCGGCCTCGTACTTCCTGAGCCGGTCCACTATCTTCTGAGCACCGTGCAGATCCACGAAGCGGAAGGGCCCTGGAAGGAAGAACAGGAGACGACAAAATGAGCTCTGGGATAGAACAAGCTACCTTCCCAACTTGCAAGACCAACCTCCAAGACATGGGGGAAAGCCGAGCCCGAAGACGGCTCCGATGTCTCCCTCTGCGGGTGTGGCCAAGATCCCTTCCTGCAGGCACAGGACGGCCTCATTCACGAATCTGGTCAGCAGGCGGTACTGGATGTCTTCGTCAGAGGAGCTGCCAACAGGGAGACACATTCGGGCAGCTGAAGTGTCACGGGGGCGGGAGGCAGGTGCGGGGATGGATGAAGGCTGGTGCTGCTGGTGCTCCAAGGGCCAGCCCGCACAGAACTCGCAGTGGTGTAGAGAAGGGGCCACCGGGAGGCCAGCCTTGCTCCTCGAAAGATGGCTCAGAGCTTCCTGCCCTAACCAACCAGAGACCGGCACCCACTCTGCAGGGCTGGGCAGACTAGACGGAATCTCTTGCCACCATCAGCTGTCAGTTACGAATGAAAAAGAGGGCCCGGGGGTGGGGGTGAAGGGGCCTAGGGTGACAGTTTCTCTAGGTGCTCTCCAGACCTTCAGAGGGAAGGCTGGAGCAGGGGTCTTTCCAAGGCTCAGCTACAGTCCTTACCCTGATGCCTGGCAGAACACGAGATGGCATGTGGAAGGGCAAAAGTATTCTTGTCAGGTGAGGGGATTATCACAGGGAAGATGGAAGAGGGCTGAGAAGCTCTGGGCTGGAGAGAAACAGCTTTCCACACTATTAGCTACTAAAGTTAACTCACACGTCAGACTTTGGGGGCACCTTCAGACTTGCCAAAATACTGTCCATGTCAGAATTCACATTCTTATTCTTCACACCCTCCTGGTAGATATAAAAGCCCTTCCCAGATTTGCGACCTAAAAGAAGCCAGAAAAGGGAGAATTACTAAATCTCAGAGACTGGGCCTGCAAATTCTCTTCTCTGCTAATCTGCTGTAAAGCTCCAGCCTCTCAACTGTATTCCTGAATGTGTCTCTCTAGCTAACCCTAGAAATTTAGTGTGTATTTGTCCGCAGAGTTGGCAAAGAAGGAAAAATGATCTTGTGTTTCCCGGGGCTTGAAAATCTATGTATGTGGATGGGAAAGGCCATCCGGGTGAGCTTTAATGTCCAGATATGCAACATCAGGACCTAGTTTATGCCCTGGTCCTGGTGCTGATGATTCTGCTTCTCCTTCGCCAAGAGAGAAAGCCACCTCTGGTGGGCCTCAACCATATTCTCTGTGTTTAGAGGCCTTACTTTCTCCACATAGGTGGCCAGGCAGCATGGTCAAGTCTGGGTGCCGAGTTTGCTCCTGCAGGATCACAGGTGTGTTAGAGGCCTTGGGCCAGATGAAAACGCCCGGCTTGCATACCTTGGGCAATGGCAGAGCCTCAGGCCAGGGTTCTGCCTAACAGGCTGTCATGAAATCATTAAAAAAATTCCCCATGATAGTGGGCTCTATGTTTAGGAAGAACTCTCCCACATGGGCCTTCTGTAACTGTGTGTCTCAGGAAACTTTGTTTTTGTGGGGTTGGTTATGGTTCTCTGAGGCTACTCACCCAGGAAGCCCCTGGACACCATCTGCTTCAGCAGTTCTAGGCTTCCACCTCCAAACCGCTCCCCAAAGGCTTTGCCCAGATCTTCCGCGACGTGTTTTGCTACATCCACACCCACTTCATCCACCAGTGTGGCAGCACCCACAGGAAAGCCAAAGTTTGTGGTAAGGGAATCCAGCTTCTTAGGCTCAACTCCTTCCTGAACGGGAGGTAAGCAGGGATCTTAGGGGAGGAAGGCATCCCAGGCCCTCCCACAAGGGCTCTCCAAGCTGGCCCTCTGAAACAGGGCCGGTCCACCACTCACTTCTCTCCTGGGTGCCACCAGCCCAGGCCCAGGACTGGGGCTGTCCCACTCAGGGAAAGCAAAGGAGGTTTGGGAGCCACCAGGGGGAAAGTCTGAGCCTTCCCTAATCCACAGGTTGAGGACTGAACAACTTCATTTAGAGATGAACACATTATTCATTTCCTCCTTGTTTGCAATTCTGAATCTCAGTAGTAATGAGATTCCACGGCAGACGGGGCGAAGTTTCCCCCAACAGAGAAGAGACCGCCTCACAGAGCAGTGTGGCGGAGCCCCCCGAGCCTGGGTCTGAGGAGGTGGCACCCGAGGGGTGTGTGCAGAAGCTGCTCCAGCACCAACCAGCCCAAGTGGGCCTGTCTGTTCCGGATAGCTCCTGCCTCAAAGCGGGGAGGCAGAAGGTGTGCACAAGGGCACATCAGGAGCCATCTGGTCCTAGTGGGGCAGGGAGGGGGGTAAGGGAGCAGAACTAAAGTTCTGCCCATTGTAGGGCAGCGAAGCCCATGATTTCCCACCACGGTGTGGAAGGATTGGGCACAAAAGAGCCTTCTTGGAGAAGAACTTGGACTTAAGTGTATTAGAGGGAAGCCTGTTCCTTATCTTGACTATCAACCTGGAGGACTGGTTTAAGGAGTGGAAGATGCCTCCAACAATCCAAGAGCAGTACCGACCTGGAGGATCCTAAGGACTTCAGACATCATGGGTGCGAGACACCTGGTGGTGTAGAAGCCAGGTCCATCCTGTCGAGGGAGAGAATGTGAGCTCACTGGCCCCTCCGCTGTAGGTACGACGTGAGGCTGAAAGCAGGCTCTCTTCCCCACGTGTCATTCCAAAATTCAAGGCGATTTATATTCGCAAACAGAATTGTTAAAATTTTATCGCGGGGGAAGCCAGAGCCAAGGCAGCACGGCTTGAACCAAACGGCACAGCACAGGGTTTCACAGTCTGGAATGGCTGGGAGAACGTGCCCCGTCCCAGACACGCCCCTCTCAGACCCTGACTCAGCAGCACGGTCCACACCACTGTCCACACTGCACACAACTAAGGGGAAATCCTATCAAAAGGTGACCTATTTGCCCCCAGAATAGTTATAAACAAGCCTGAAGGTATAAGGAATCTTAACAGAACTTTGCCCCCGTCTGCCGCTCTGTCACACAGCTCCTTACCTTAACCACAATGATGACCTTCCCCTGCTTGAGCCCAACGGCTACCGCCGAAGCGGTTGTGTCCTTAGACGTTTTCTCGGTTGTGATGATCTCCAGCAGCTGCATCTTGTCCACAGGAGAGAAGTAGTGCATGCCAATCACCTAGCAAGGGGAGTACAAAGCCAACAGATCTAAGAACGCAGAGGAGGAACTGGATAGCACTCATTTTTTTGCTAGGAAAGCAAGGGAGATCCGTCTGAGTGGTTTGGCTCTGTGGTTCTTTGAAAAAAAGTTCAGTATGTTTCAGAGGGCTCACTGGAATCTTCTTCCATCTGCTTCTAGGGAAACAGATCCTACCAACAATTAGTGCCAAAATCACAGCTACTGGCCAAATTAGATTTATCAGGGAAGAATGAATGAAGGTCCCACTCGTATTAGTGATACTGATGGTTCAGAGGGTCCACTTTTTTTGAGGTGGGGGAGGCAGAAGCAGGCAGAAGAATCCATCAATATGCTCAACTGTCAGAGATGTACCTGGATTTTACACAGATGGGTCTCACTACCAGGATACTGGGTTTAAATAAGATTTATCAACATTCAGGGACAACTGGCTCAGTTGGTTGAATATCCAACTCCTGATTTCGGCTCAGGTCATGGTCTTGGGGTCATGAGATCAAGCCCTGTGTCGGGGTCTGCGCTCAACGGGGAGTCTGAGATTCCCTCTCTCCCTCTGCTCCTCTCCCCCCACCCCTGCACTCTCTTTCAAATAAATAAATCTTAAAAAAAAAACAAAAAACATTCAAATGCACCCAAAGATTCATTAAACCAATGATTCTTGAAGTGAAGTAATTGGACCAGCAACATTAGCATCGCCTGGGAAATTTAGAACTAAAATTCTCAGGCCCACCCCAGACCCAGATCTACTGAATGAAAGACTAGGAGCAGGGCTCAGATCTGTGTTTAAGAAGCCTTCCAGGTAATTCTGATACATGCTGAAGTTCAGAACCTCCTCCTTAAGCTAACAATTAGACAGTCTCCCAACTGCATTGCTGTGGGAGAGAATAATTTAATCATAAAACTTAAGAGTTTTGCTCCCCCTACCCTCACTTTAGCTGTAAGATATAACTAATGATATCTACCATTTATTGACTGCTGGCTATCCACTGTTCTTTAATACCTTTGCCATTTATTCCTTACATTTAATCCATCACTCTGTGAACTAGTCAGTCTTATCTAGATGAAGAAAGAAGTCATCAGGAAGTTAAAATGGGTAGCTCAGGGTCAGTTAGTGAAAGGCAGTGGGATTCCATCACAGCTGGTCTGTCTCCAAAGCCTGCCTACTCTCCATTATGTAATGCACAGGTCACTTAAATGTTCCATAAATTTACCAATCCAAAAGTTGCTTCTAAACCCTAAACTGTTCCTTATGTCTAAGCTATTTAAAAAGACAGGACCTGATTCAGACTCAGCACTTCTGAGCAAAAGGAATTAGCCTTATGACATATAACTTATACACAATAATATGCACAGAACTTAAAGTGTTCATTTCAATGAGTTTTGACAATTGTATATACACTCATGTGATCACTACCCCAAGCAAATCTATTTACATCACTCAAGAAAGCTGTGCCAAAGGTGACCAACTTGTCCTGGATAAACAGATGGCTGGTCACCCTCCCTGTGCCCCTGTGACCTTAATTTTATATAACATAGGGGAAGCAGGGGACAGAAGCTATCCAAGATACTTGGAGGCCAGGACTGCAAAACATGATGCTTTTTCCACTCCACTGGGAAAATGAGAAGTTAGCATCAAAGATTCTCCTTCACTGACTTAAATGCTGCCGAGGTGCTGAGTGATGTGACATGGCCAGACTGTCAACCTGCCTTTATAGTGTTTTTCTGTCTTCCCTCAGTGTCACACTTCTCCCTGTGACCTTTTCCTGCCATCCCTGAACCTGCCTGTCAGGCCCTGTATCGCTTCCAATCTGCGGTGTGCTAGGAGACGAGCTTACCTTGCAGTCACAAGCTATTAGAATAGGAATAAACAGACTTTTGTGTTTTCAATACAAGGACTCTGTCTTAACAATTTCAGCTGCTTAAAGGTCTCTTATATTTCCTTCCTACTTTTGGCTGGCTCTGGTTAGCTGAGGCTAATTGCTATCCTCCAGAGAGGTGAGGTATTTTATTTCTCCTTGAGTGATTTCACTTTCCCTGGGTTACCCTGGTAGACAGCAGAAGCCCAAAGATAAATTTCCAGGTATCATTCCCAATACTCACTGAAAGTGCTTCTACCCTTTCACATCCTGGGTAGAAGTTCTAAGTGAACCCATAGGTGGACACACCTCACCACCCCTCCTGATCTTCTATTCCTGGATGTGGAATTGGAAGCAAACCTGTCTTAGATTGTCACCAGTGTGTGCTCTGTAACTGAAGTGATATTTTGGAGTACCCCTCTTATTTTAAGGGCCTGTCTTTATTTTTTAAAATTAAGAATGTTTTTAAATATTTTAGGTTTTGAAAGTAATCTCTATACCCAACATGGCGCTCAAATTCACAACCCTGAGATCAAGAGTCACATGCTCTACCAATTGGGCCAGCCAGGTGCCCCTTGGGCCTACCTTTAAATACCTAATTGTAATAAAGGTAGGTTTTATAGTCTGAACCTAAAAAATAAGAGCTGTTAGGGATGCAAATCACCTATAAAAGTATATTTTGGTTGTACTTCACTTATCCCAGCATCTCACAATGGTCACGGTATTATTAGCTTTTCTGTGCCCAGTTTTGGGGAAGATATCACCGCCCCCCCTCCACCTCACAATCCACACCAGGCCCTTCTCATGCTCTAAGCCTTCCTCAGGGAGCCCACGGCAGGAAAAGATTTCAGGGTCTTCCCGCTGTTCAGAATTTACCTTCTCGGGTCTTTTGCTGACAGCAGCAATTTCACGGATTGGGAGAGCAGATGTGTTACTGGCAAAGACACAGTGATCCGGAATCAGCTGCAGGGGAAAAGCATTGAAGAATGTGTCATGGAGGCCTGGGAGATGACTGGAGTCCAAAGCAGAGCTAAGCCATGAAACGTGGGCCCAGCCCCGCTTCCCCCGCCAACCGCTCAGACAGTAGATACTATTCGGCTGACATTTCCAACCTCCCAGGGCTCCTGTGATGGGGAGTGTGTTGGCCTTGTTCTTTTTCCCATTCAGCCTTCTAGTTCTGGCTCAGTGTCCTAACCTGGAGACTGCATCTCAACGTTAGGTAAATAAGACACCTCAGATAAATACTGAAAAGATAACCTTGAGTCAAATCTCATTCATTTCAAGATCTAGCATGCGTACCAATCCCTCTTCTTGTTTGGATCTGCCCTCGAATCCAGAAGCTGACGATCCCCCCCTCCCCACCCTTTACCTTGATAAGAACAAGCCACAGCATGCATGCCTAGCTCATTTTATACAAGGTGCTACTAGAAAACCGTGTGCCGCTGTAATTAATCTACAGCACACAAATCCTATTAACTGTTATCTTCACCATCCTGGAGAGCAGTCTCTAATGTAGACTGTCTCAGCATTCGGTTCATGATCCTGAGTTATTCATGTTTTTATTCAGCTGTGTGCATAAAAAACATGGAAGGCACACCTGTCAAATTTGTGCACCCTGGGACAGGCAAAATCCTAACATGGGAGCTGGGAATCAAGGTTCAAGATACATGCAACACGCTGAAAAGCTGAGTATAAACATCAATTATAATGGGGACAAAGGTAAAATACCACAATAAGATTTTTTTAAAAAGAAAAATGGGGGGGCGCCTGGGTGGCTCAGTCATTAAGCATCTGCCTTCGGCTCAGGTCATGGTCCCAGGGTCCTGGGATTGAGCCCCACATCCGGCTCCCCGCTCGGCAGGAAGCCTGCTTCCCCCTCTCCCACTCCCCCTGCTTGTGTTCCCTCTCCCTCTGTGTCTCTCTGTCAAATAAATAAAATCTTAAAAAAAAAAAACAAAAAAACGGGAAAAAGCTAGAGAGGCACCTGTTGAACAAAACCTGGCTCGGCAGTTAAGCTTGTGTAAGGCCCCCAGGATTTTAGTTAATCAGAAGTGTGAGTTGAAAGCAGAGCACGACTGCAAGGAAGTGAAGAGTCTCAAGTGGCACGTCTGAGGGGCACAGCGTCTCACGCTGGTGGGGACATTCTCTATGAAGAGCAGGCCAACGTCTCCAAAGACACCTGGCACCAATTCCTCCCCTTCTGATTCACGTGGGGCTCTCCTCCCATCCAGAGGTAGACTCTATTTCCGCCCTCCTGAACCTCATGACTTGCTTTTACCAATGGAAAGCAGGAGTGACACTCTGAGCTCCAGGCCAGCCCTTAAGGAGCCCTGTTTTTTTTTTTTTTTCCTCTTGGAAGCCAGAGGTCAACGCTGTAGTTTGCTCCAAGTCTGCACTTCTCTTGATCTGATCCCTCTTTCTCTTTCCCTTGATCACCAGTTTCCCAACTGCTAAAGCTAACACACCCTTCTCCATGCCGGTAGTCCCAAACCCAGATTTTCCAAAAGCAAAGACCATCACCTAGTCAGAGGGTCGATGCTCTTCTCTCCACGCTGCCCGTGTCTGTTTTTGCGGCTCCTCAAGGACCTGCCTGCCGCTGGCTCAGCAGTGCCCTCAAAGGCCTGGGAACACCACCTACCACTCTGCGCCGAAATGCCACTCAGCACAGATGGAATACAAATCCACGCAGCTCTCCTGAACTTTCCCCCGCAGCTGAATCTACATGACCCTTTGTCAAAAGGAAAGACTTTCCAATGCACGGATTCCAAAGCAGAACGGTCCCAGAGTTGCTTGTCTTTAGGTTCTCAGCCCTCTGTAGGTTGAGTGTGTGGTAGAGCGGGGACCGCCCTCACACAGAGTCCACTGTGCAAGTATGACCACTCCTCAGGACACCTGGAGAGCTGCTGAGCCAGTGCCATTTCGTGTACACAATCTACTAGCCCACATTCTGTTTAACCGTAGGTGCTGCTCCAGGCCCCCGTTCTATCTTGTAGCTTAGTGACTACTGTCATTTGTTCTCCTCTGGGCTCCTTCTTTATACCACCCACGACAGGTACTTGCTTTGTTCATGGCATATAGAGTGCTCAGGATCAAGACTGAAGCAGCATTTCCACAAAGTAAGCATCTGAAACCTGCCTGGAGAGAGAATTTCTCCCCTACTTCCTGTGCTGGTGAGACCTGAAGAAGTTTAATTATGGCTTGTAGCTAACCCAAAATGCTAAGACAGCTGGCTAGACTCCATGAGGTTACTGTATGTCTGGGTGACTGAACTCCCACAGAATGCTAATGAACCCTGTGTTACTTGATTTTCTTACCTCAGGACTCAGATTTGACCTTTGTAACCTATATACTGTACATGGGTTCACATAAAAACTCCTAAGTATGGACATGAGTAACCCTATAAAAACAACCATGAGTTTCCTTTTTTAAAACCTATTTCTGTGTCCTCCACTCACTAGGCTACGATTCAAGTACAACAGGCCTCTTACTTACCGCTTCTACTTCCTTTAGCACTCTGTGCTTAAGACTAAGGTCCTCAAAAACAGCTTCAATCACCATGTCAGCCTTTTCAAAACCCTGGTAATCGAGCTGCCCAGTCAAGTTGCTGAAAATGGAGTCCCTTTCAAATGATGTTAGAGCTTTCTTCTTCACTTTATCATTCAATCTAGAAAAAACACAGTCCTAGTCAGAAGGAAAGAATAGGAAACTTAACATTTATTGAGCATCCATGGGCCAGACACATTTTTTTTTTTTTTTTTACCAACTCTGTGAGGCAGTTCTATTACTCCCATTTTGAGAGAGAAGAGTTGCTCAAATAGGCTCAGAGGGACTCATGGTCAAATGGCTAGGTACTAGGCCAAAGGCAGGTTGGCCCCCAAGTCCACATTCTTTCTCCTGTAAGAAGCCTCTAAATGTGAAATTTACATAAACTCTAACACTCATAAAACATTTACATTTGCAAAGAGGAATAAACACAAATACTGGAATGGCAAAACAAAGAAGCAGCTCTGGTACCTCTCTACCTATAATGGAGGAAACACCCAACATGTGTCCTAGACCACATGGACTTATACCTGATTACACATCATTTTGTTATTCTGTAACTGTAATCTTCTGGAAAAGAGAGACCAAGCATTATTTCTTATATTCTTAATCTACTTCCCAGTCAGCACATAGTAAGTACCATATTATATTGATTACACAAAATATTAACTCAAGGTTTCTTCCTTCCCATAGGGAGATAAAAAGGATTCCTGCTACTCAGACATTTAACTGATTACTTTTCACTGCCAAGAAAAACAGGCTCTCTTAGGTTATAATCTGACCACACTTGCAGAATAACTGACCTAGAATTTTCCTCTGAAAGAATAGAGCTAAATTCCATTTACTAATTTCCTTAACCCAAAGAAAAATTAAAGCCACAAGGTAAGTTTATTTTATACTTTGGTATCAAGACTAGAAATTCTCATGTTTGTGGATTTTGATGGTTTCCATCTCATTGCCATATTGTTATGGAACACTGAAAACAGCACGACTTCGTGGAAAACGAGGATGTGAGGAAATGTGCCGTAATTACACACTGAAGGTGGGGCTGGGATCAAAACTCTTGAACCTTCTATTTCTTGGCTGGCGTTACTGTAGAGAAGCGGAAACAGATTTGGTTCCATAATGTCTGAGGCCTTACAGACTGTGACTCCATCTTACCTCTGAATTAATAAAAGGTGAATATTACTCTCCCTTCTGCCCACCTACCCCTTCCCTCCTCCACGCTGCCTGTTTTGCAGAGGAGGAGAAACTGAGCAGCCGCTTGGCCAGACTAGAAATTGGTTTCAGCTCAGTTCTGTGCTCCACTGTAATGGACAAGCTGGCTGCACATACACTGTCCTACATATGACTTTCAGTTGAATGAGCTTTTATTTTTTTTTTAGATTTATTTATTTGAGAGAGAGAGAAAGAACACAAGCAGGGAGGAGGGGGCAGAGGGAGAAGAAGCAGACCCCCCACTGAGCAGGGAGCCTGATGCGGGGCTTGATCCCAGAGCCCTGGGATCATGACCCAAGCTGAAGGCAGAGGCTTAACCAACTGAGCCACCCAGGTGCCCCTTGAATGAGCCTTTTTTTTTTTTAAGATTTTATTTATTTATTTGACAGAGAGAGGTCTGCAGAAAAGAGGTCAAACATAGTGAAGCTACATAACCCATCTAAGAAACAACAACAAAAAAGCTCATTCAAGGGGCTCCTGGGTGGCTCAGTCGTTAAGCGTCTGCCTTCGGCTCAGGTCATGATCCCAGGGTCCTGGGATCGAGCCCCGTATTGGGTTCCCTGCTTAGCGGGGAGTCTGCTTCTCCCTCTCTCCCTACTTGTGTTCCTGCTCTCGCTGTCTCTCTCTCTTTCTCTGTCAAATAAATAAATAAAATCTTTAAAAAAAAAAAAAAAAGAAAGAAAAGAAACATCAGGCCCTGGCGAGTGCCCCTCACCATACTGCTTACTTGTGACATAGTACATGTTTCCTGTCCTCTCTTGGTAACAGTTCATTAGGCATTAGAGCAACAAATAACATTCTGAACTCTGACGAGCATCTTGTTTGCTAACTGCTGACATGGTTGTCAGAAACCAAGAGATCTGAACCCATGGTTTTAAGACTTTGTTTGCTTGTCCATTACA